GATCGTGAGATCGATAGTGAGATCGATAGTGAGACCGATCGAGTGAGACGTTGGTTCCTCCCCCCCCGAACCTCCTTCTCACCCGAAGGGTGGTCGTATAGATATGTATACACACCATTCGGGGCCTCATCTGGGCTTCTTGGGTGCCTCTTGGGGCTTGTTGGGTGCGTGTTGGCGGTCTCGGGGGCCGCCTTGGGGCTCTCTTGGGCCGTCTTGGGCGCCTCTTGGGCCGTCTTGCAGCCCTATTGGGCCGTCGTGGGGGCGTCCTGGGGCGGAATGGGGGGTGTCTTGGGCCGTCTTGGAGCGACACATCGTATTCACTAAGCATGCATGTTTTCCTGGGGGAAGTGGCCTCTTGGGGCTTTCTTGGGGCCTCTTGGGGTTCTCTTGGGATGCCTCTTGGGGCTTTCTTGGGGCGTCGTGGGGCCTCTTGGGCCATCTTGGGCGCCTTGGAGCCCTGTTGGTCCGTTTTGGGGTCCTGTGGGGGCCATCTTGGGCCGTCTTCGGCCCTCCAGGGGCGCTCCAGACCCAGCGGCTCCCACCAGGCTTGTAGTTCAGCTGGGCCAGTTTTCTATGTGAATTTATGTATGGTTTCATTATATATATATATATATATATATATATATATGTATACACATAGATTAAAAAAAGGTCGTGCCTTGCCAAGCCCACCAGCGCTAGCAGTACCATTTGCCCTTGCGAGGTGGAGGTCTCAAATGATATGGCCTAGAAGGAGGAACGTCTACTTTCTTCCTGCTCATATCTTTCCTTGAGCGAGCAACCCAACTTGATTTCTTACGATGGGAACCTTGATGACGTGATGCATAGTATTAATCAGGGTAGTTGTAGTCGTTGTCGTTGTCGTTGCCGTGGTCGTAATGCCAGCAGGCGAGTGCGGATGCAAGAGGAGCAGCGGGAGAGGGAGGACCAGGGGAGCTAGGAGGAGATGGAGAGGGACGAGGCAGATTGGGAGAGGCGGGGAGGGTGGGAGGGAGGGGCGAGCACGAGGAGGAGGAGGAGGAGGAGGAGGAGGAGGAGGAGGAACCGGGAGCGGTGCAAGCGGTGGAGAGATGCGGGCCCCCTGGAGCTCCTGGCCTCGTTCCCTTGGTTGCCAGGCACCTTGCGCCACGGCCAGTCTGTCCCTGGCCCTGGGGCCCAGCGTTGGCCTCCAGGGGGCCCAAGGCCCGAGGCCTGGAGAGAGAGAGGCGCGGCCTGCCTGGAGCTCTGCTCGCGGCGCCTGGAGGTCTGGGAGCGGGGGGGGGGCGGCAGGCCGGAAGCGGGACGGCGCGGGACGGAGGGGATGCCCACGAGGGCCCGGGGAGGAGCGCCGGAGGCCGCGGCGCCCTTTTTGGCCAGGGAGGAGATGTGAGGCTCGAGTTCCGCCGGAGCTCAGGCTTGGCACTGTCTTCTGGCGGGCCCGCCCTGAATTTTGAGGGTCCAGTTCTCTTGGGATGTCTGCAGCGTCTGCAGCGGGCGCCCGCGTCAAATTTCAGACTGGGTCTCGCCATTTCCTGACGGTCCCGCCAGGCCAGCCTGGGTCTCCCGAACCCGAGTCTTACGTCTTCCCGACAATCGTATCTCCCCGAGACGGTCCCCACATGACCTGCCTGGCCTGTCGAAAGCCGGGGATGGGGTCGCTACATCTCGGGAAACAGACATTGACATAAACAACTTTTTTGAGGTTCGCAGAGATTTCTTGGATCGGCGCTGGGCCCCCCCTCCCTGGAGTGCGGAGCGCGCCAGGGGCGGCGCCGGAGGCGCCGCCAGGGGCCCCGGCGACGATCCACGAAATCCGCGCGGACCCCAGCCTTACGTTCGGAGGTGGATAGACCTCGTACCTTGACACGTCGATTAACCGTTTTCGGTTCGCGAGAGGGCGTCGCGGCCGTCATTTTTGCGGGTCCAGGTCCGTCGGTTGCGGTCCCAGGCCGTTTTCCTTCAGGGGGGGTTTACTAAAGGGAGGCTTGTCCACCGCCGATACGTCTCGCCGATCCATCTCCTTGCTGCCCCCAGGCCACCCCGTGCACGGCGGTGTGCCTGCGGCGGGAGCCCGCGTGCGGGAGCAGCAGGGCGTGGATTCCAGACCTCCCGGATGGGGCCGAGTGATTGGACGGGGTCGCTGGAACGCGCCGCATGGCCGATGCATCGGCGATGCAGCTCGATGTGGGGTCCCATTTTTTCTCCACGCCGACGTCGCCGACGCATCGGCGATGCGGGCGCGATCCTCCGAACCCACCTGCTCGGACTTGCTCGGACCCCACCCAGGAGTCCTCGAAGTAACGAGGGGGATACGCCTGGGGTGGCCGCCAGGACTTCGCCGAGGGCCAGGCCCGTGTGCCGCCGCCGCACCGCCCTCGGCGAGCGCGCGCTTGCTGGGCGCGGCGCTCGCGCCGTGCGGCGCTGGCGGCGGCGGCGGGTGCAGCAGGGGCAGCGTCAGGGGTGGGTACGCGAGGGGGGGGGGGGGATGCATCGACCCCAGTCGCGCCCGCTCATCGGCGAACGGGGCCCGATAGCTCCTCCCGCCCAGGAACGTGCGGATTCGCTATCTGTTGGGGGGCCCGTCGCCGATCTGTCGGCGATGCATCGCCGAGTCGAGGTTCCCCTCCCGCAGGAAGCCCCCCCCATGGTTGCCCCTCAACGGTGAGAGCAGCGGGCGGAAGCCCGGAGGAAGAGGTGCCGATGCCAATGCCGCTGCCCTTCCCTCGTTTCGTTTGTTTTTGTTGGGCCTCGCCTCCTGGGAGGCCCACGTCGCCGCGGCCGGATTCGCGCCGAAATCCTGGCCAGAACGCACCCAGGGCAGAGGCTCTTGGAGTACAGGGTCCGGCTTGAATAAGGAGCACTTGCGTTTCAAAATGGGCTCGGTCGTTCTTTTGGTTTGCATGCGATCCGCTACCTTTTTGGCGGAAAGCCCCCCTGGTGTTCCTTCGGACTTCGTAGACTTATTGGGGAAAAAGGGGCTTCGTTCCTTATGTACCGTTCATTCGGTCAGGCCGAATACTGTAGGCGTATATGTATCTTCTTGGTCTGCCCAAGGACGGGGCCAGGCTGGTGGCGGATCGGCAGGGGTGCAGCGTGTCCCAAGAGGGGGAGGGCCCCAGGAGTGGCGGAGTAAGACGGGGCGAGGACGGGGAACTGGTGGTCGTGACAGGGCGCCAGTTTAGAAGGGAGTTCGGCGGGCGTTCGTCGGAGGTGGATGGACCTCCTACCCTGACACGTCGGGTAGCGAATTGGCCGTTCTCGGTTCGCGGGAGGGCGTCGCGGCCGTCGTTTTTGCGGGTCCAGGTCCGTCGGTTGCGGTCCTGGGCCGTTTTCACTAGAGGGAGGTTCATTGAATGGAGGTTTGTCCACCGGCGAGTTTGGGCAGGAGGTGTCAGGTCCGGCGACGCTTGGGTGGGGACCGAACGGTCCAGAGATGCCACAGAAATACAAAGGGTTGGAGGCCCCAAAGCAGAGCTCCACGGGGTGTGAATAGTGGAGCGGGGTGACTTCAGAGCGAACTGTGCATGTTGCGGGGTCTATTGACAGAGGTCGGGGGGAGCTTCCCTCTTGCACGGGTCTGGGGTCGGCGGACAAGGCCTTGTCCATAGGCGTCCCGCGTGGTGTTGAGCAAGCGGGCCGGTGGCGCTCGTGTCTCGAGGCCAGATTTCCTGGGGGAGCCCCCTCACTAGTCCCTCAGGTGTGCCCCGAGCGCACAGCGCAGCAAGGAGCCGAGCCTATGCTGCAAAATGCAGAGCAATACCATGCAACCCTGTGACGCAGCGCGGCGCAAGTCAGAGCGGGGCAATACGCTCCCAGCGACGGGGACGTGACGAGTGAAGCAGCTCAGGCCCGAGCGAAACGCGGCATGCCGAGGCAACACGCAGTCGTGCAGCGCACAGCACAGCTGCGCAGCAGGCGGGACTGCGTGTGCTGGTCACAGTGCCATAGCACACGATGTGGCACATCGGTCGAACATGCTCTGCAGTGCCGTCGATGAGACGAACCGTTACTCAGCGCTTCGTTCCGGCCACACCCGGGAGCAGGCGAGCTGCCGGGGAGGCAGGGCGGCCGCTCCGGCCAGGTCGGCTGGCCGCCATGCATCACCGTCGCTGAATGCAGGAGGGGAAAAACGCACAGACACAATTCATCGTCGATCCCCCAGAAAATATGGGAAACTATGGGAAGTGGGGGGGAACATGAAAATCCCACAAGTGCAAACATATGGGGGATCCTTTGATTTGTGTGTATTTGTTTGTGTGTGTGTGTCCCAGGGCCCCTTCTTACTCACCGTGAATGGCGTTACCAACTTTGCGCTACTTTGCACCCTGCGGCACAGAAACAAGCGCATCGCGTGCTAGGAAACCCCTGCACGTTGGCGCCATACTCTGGGCCGCTCTGTGCCTGTGCAGGTTCGCGTGTTACTAATTGGCGCAACTTCTTGCGGCTGAGTTTGAGTCTCGGCAAGCCCTCACTGAATTCCGGTTGCCCTCATTCGGTACGCTTCCTATGAGTTCTTCACCCATTGTTTTCATCGGCCATGCTGGCCGAAGGAGGGAGTTAGAACACGGCCCCGCGACTGGGTGAGGAGCATCGCGATACAGTTAATTCGAGCAGCTGTCGTCGCCGGTGCCTTTTTGATTTAGCATTCAACAGTGGCACACTTGTTTCGTCCCGCTGATAACCACCTCGGCTATCATCCTCGAGTCGTTCCCGCGCAAATCTTCCTTCCAAATTTGCAATAAGAAGAGCGCGGGAAGATGACGACATGGAACAATTGGAGTAGGACCGTGTTCCGCGCACAGCTCACCTGCTTCTTCGTAGTCGTACTACCTGCTCCATCCATCTCCTGGGTCTTGGCTCTTCTCCCCTGCAGTCCCTGCTCAGCGTGTGGAGTCGGGGAAGGAGGAGGAGGAGGAGGAGGAGGAGGCTCCTTGACATTCGGAGTTATCCAGATGGCTCTGTTGGGCTCCAGGAAGGAAGCAGGAGAGGGAAGAGGTGGAGGAGACGGGTGGGGAGATGAGGAGAACCCAGGTCATGCTGGAGTACCGGCTCCGCAAGCCGGCGCCGAAGGCGCCGAAGGCGCGCGGGGTGGACACGGCCAGCGTCTCCCCGTCCGGTCTTGTTGGCCCTCATCGGTTTCCGCCGCTCCTCCTCGTCGCCCCCCTCGGGTCCTATACCTCCCTGGCGACTCGCAGCACTGAGCCTGGCGAAGGGCCCAACCCTGTGCTGTCGCGTGCGGCACAAAGCGTTGCCTTTTCCCAACGAGTACCGCGCGCCGCGGGTCAAGCGGAGAGGGGGGAGGCGGAGCAGGGTCGCAGGGGGCGAGGCGCGCTGACCTCCCGGCTGGGCAAGATGCGCGCGGTGAGCGTGCAGGGCGAGTCTGCCCGCTGGGGCCTCCCGTGGAGCTCCCTGCTGAGCGATTTGCATGCGGGTTGCGCCGAGATGGCAGCGGGTCCTCGTGCGAACGCTCCCACTGCTGCAGTAGGCGGAGCTCCTTGCGGGACACGATCCGCGTAAGATGTGCGGCCAGATGGGTGCGGGCCCCCATGCGTGCGCCCAGTGATGCAGTACAGTCGGGCCGCTGAAGGAGGGACCCTTTTCGCTGGGGAGCGGTCTTTCTCTGGGAGATCAATGTTGAACTTATGGAAACATGGGGCTTCGTTCCTTATTTTGGGTTCCTGATGACTGCGTTTCGACTGTATGCAGAGCTTCTTGCGGGGCACGATTCGCGTGAGGGGTGCGCACACATGGGTGTGGGCCCTCATGTGTGAGGGGTGCACCCACATGGGCGTGGGCCCTCATCTGATTGCACCCACTGTCTGGTGCCGTAGGTTCAGCTCCCGTTGGGCACGCTCTGTATGAGGTTTGCGCCGATATGGCTGCGGGACAGGATGTGAATACGCCCACTGAGGCCGAAGGTGGAGCTCTCTGAGGGCACGATCCGTGTGACGGGTGTGCCCCGATGGGCGTGGGCTCGCACGCGATTGCGCCCACTACTGCCGTAGGTGGAGCCCCCTGCTGCGTGGTCGCCGAAGCTTGGGCAGTCCCGTACTTCGCCAAACACTTGACTTGAAGGCTCATCAGGTCGCATAAATGACAAGTGTCCTCAGGGGGTCTCGACGGCCACCGTGGCTGTGCCAATATTTGCCTCAAGCCAGGCGTGCGCTTCATCGTTTGATTAGTTACTTTGGCCCTGGGCCAGCTAGACCAGCTGCATCATGCCCGCGGTGGCGGGGCGACTGACGCACTCTCCGACCCCCTCCCACCCTTCGCATCTCTGCAGAGGTCTGCAGAGGGCCTGCAGTGGCTTGCAGCGGGCCCCAGGGGGCTCTAGACGCCCCCATGGACCTCCATCCTGAGAAGAAGGCCGCCATGACCGAGGCGGGTGCGAAAAGAGTTGGTGCGAAGACCGACAGCAGTTCTTGCCCATGCTGCCGAGAAGAATTCGCTGTCGGCGTCGCCGCGGACATGCGCCACAAGGGGCAAACAAGTCGCCCGCCCAACAGCGGCCGCTTTCGCTCTCAGACGCATCTGCTAATGGGCATCGCGCCCCGTTTGTTCTGTACCCATCTCGGGCTTGCGAAGAAGGACCCCAGACCCTCCATGCTCAGTCTTCGCCTCTCCCCCCCCTTCCACGCCGTAGGTGAACAGCACATCCGCCCCTCCCTCTCGTCCTCTCCTGTGCCTCCTGGCTCCGCCCCCTCCCGCACACCCGACGTCACGACGTCGTGGCAAGCCGACCACGGCTCAGGCCTCGGAGTGCCGCTCCCGAGGCAGGCCCGTCCGCCCCGTCGCAGCGGGGCCGACGTCGGCGTCGCGAGAAAAATCGAGACGGCATGCATTGTCGTTGTAGCTTGTCGGCCGCTGGTGGCTGTGTTTTTCAGGGGCAACGTTCGGAGGAGGTAGTCGGCGGCGAGCGAGGGGGGGAAATGAGAAGGATAAGACCTTTTTAGAAGGCGGCGGGACTTCGCAGAAGCCCTCGCGCCTTCTGAGAAGTTGCTTTTGTCTTCGGGGAAGGCTTAGAAAACTTCTCAGAAGGCCGGGGGACTGCCATACCTTCTGAGAAGGCCTGCCCCTCCTCACTTCCCCCCTCGCTCGCCGCCGAGGTAGGCTCAGGCGGGAACGCGTCGACCCCTGATCGCCATCGGTCGCCGATGATGACCTGGCAGCCCTCCCCGCCCAGGAGCGCGCAGGTTCGCTATCGGAGCCCATCGCAGATCTATATCTGCGATGTGTCGACGATTCGGGCTCGATGTTCCTCCCTGAGCTAGCCCCCTCCTGTCGTTTCCCTTCGGTCGTGCGCCAAGGACGATCAACACGTAATCGGGATGACAGAGCTCCGAGGCGGGGAACCGTCTGGGGGATCGATCTTCGGGGGCCTGGGCAGGCGGTGGATATGGAATTATTCGGGCCCCATAGGGCCAATACGTCGGTTCCACAGGCGGTGGATATGGATATATCCCCGCCTCGCACAGATCGAGCTCCCAGAGGTCGGGGCCTGTCTCCCCTGCAGTTTCTCGGCGTCACGGTGGGCGGCCTCCTCCTTGATACGGGCTTCGCCAGAGGCTGGTTCGGCCCTTGGGGCGGCCAGAGGTGGGGGGAGGGTGGGAGGCCCGGGGATTGTGGCGGCCCTCGTCCGTGTCATATGGTTTTGTATCGAGTGAAACGCTTTTTTTTTTTTTTTTTTTTTTTTTTTTTTTTTTTTTTTTTTTTTTTTTTTTTTTTTTTTTTTTTTTTTTTTTTTTTTTTTTTTTTTTTTGTTTTTTATCTCTTTTGAGTCTTTTTAGCGTGATCCTTTCCTTTTCTTTGTCTCTTTCGTTCGTGTGATCTCTCTTCATCTACTTCACCTCTTTCGTCATTCTCTCTCTCTCTCTATCTCTCTCTTTCCGTCTCTCTTTCTCTGTCTTTCTGGTTTCGTCAGCCTTCAAACAATCATTGCCCCCGAGCATGGTCCTCAAAACTCTAGCCCTGTGCCAAACGGCATGGGGTTGGAATCTCGAGTACCATGCTCGGGGGGGGGAGCATTTTTGGGGGGCTCTTCCGATTTGCTGAGGTTGTTTCCCCCTTTCCGGCGTTCTTTGTTTTTCTTTTCTCTTTCAGTCCCTCTCGTCTGATCTATCCATGCCTCCCCGAGCATGGTCCTCGAAACTCTAGCCCTGTGCCAAACGGCAGGGGGTTGGAATTTAGAGGACCATGCTCGGGGGTGCATTTCTTTTGGCTCTTCCGATTTGCTGAGGTTTTTTTTGTTCCGTTCCAGCGTTCTCTTCTTTTTCTCTTCTCTTTCAGTCCCTCTCTTCTGATATATCCCTCTCTCTTCGTCTCTGTCTCCCTCTCTCTTTTCTCTTTCGCTGCTGTTCGTTATCCTCTCATTCATCCCTCTCTCTTCGTCTCTCTCTCTCTCTCCCTCTCTATCTTTTCGTTTCGTTTGTTCCTTATCTTCTGGCGGGAGCGCCACGAGGAGGAACTGGAGGAGGAGAAGGATAGGGGAGGGAGGAGCTGTTGGAGGAGGACGGGGGGAGGAGGAGGAGGGGGAGGGAAGTAGAAGCAGGACGGCGGTAGCGACGTGACCTATGCCTTCTGTGCGTGTGGTTTCGCATCGACGTCCATATGCCAAGAGGTTTGGTTTCGGTATCCTTCTCTTTCTTGACTTCGAGGGAATACATCATTGCTTTGCTTGCGGAAGCTGGCGGGAGCTGCCATGAGGAGGAGCAGGGGGGGGGAGGAGGAGGAGTAGGAGGAGGAGGAGGAGGAGGAGGAGGAGGAGGAGGAGGAGGGGGAAGAGTTTGAGCTGGAAACTGCGGGAACGGGTAAACCACGTTCGGACGGCGTTAGCGTGAAGTCCAGTGGCTAGCATCAGGATTCCTCTGCCAAGATATCTTCAGAGAGCCCCAGGAGGGGGGAGAAGGGGGACGAGAGAAGGGACATGAGGATGGTTTGTTTTCGGATGCTTTGCGTTGCCTGCGCATGGCGTCGCATTGCATTTGCATTGCATGTACATCGCGTTCGCATTGAGTTGACTTGTTTTCGCAATGTGTTTGCATTGCAATCGCAATGTGTTTGCATTGCAATATGATTGCGTTGGAATCGCATTGCGTTGCAATATCGCTGCGCTGCGTCCGTGCTCTCGCCACGTCGTGTTCTGTCGACGTTGGTCCGAGCACTGCGCTGCATGCCCGCATTTTTGCAACCGCGCTGCAACCAATGGCGCCCAATGGCCGTCGTCCTCCCGTCAGTGCTCGTCGGGGACGGCCGTGGCAAAGTCTTCACGCAATGGATCGAGGAGGTGAGGCAGAATCGTGACGTTCGCAGGAGGCCAGCGGCGATGAAGGGGTCAATGAAGAGGGTTCGCAAGACCGCCGTCAAGAAACACGTCCTCCGCGTGAAGGCCGAGAAGAGGGATAAGTCCGTGGTTCTCAAGAGGCCGTCGGACGCGCCAGTGCGCAAGAGGCTATCAGCCGCTGCGCCAGGCAAGGGGCAGTCCGCCGCAGCCATTCGGAAGAAGGCACAGTACAAGAGCAGCAGCAAGGCGGCCCGCAACATGCACCACAACCACGGGTGGTTCATGGCCCTCACCCCAGAGGGCCGCATCGCTGTCGCAGTCGAGCAGAAGAACCCGGACGACAACGGCGTCGCGGCAGAAACCTTGAGTCGTGCTCTCAAGGAGCACCCCAATGTGAACACCCTCGTGTACGACAGGTGCAGCCACTTGTATGTATCAGCTCCGAAGTTGCCCGTCTGCAAGGACGTCAAGCGTTGGCCCGTCGACTGGATGCACGCGAAGGGGCACGCCGGCAGCTGCCCCGTCAAGCCCTACAAGATCAAGCGGTTGGCCCGAAACTTGAAAGGCGCCAACACGCAGGTGGCCGAGCAGTCTTTCTCGCGGTTCCCGCCCAGCGTTGGTGGACGCAGAGGGGCCCGCCGCTGCGGGCCTTGCTGGGATTTTTTCCCGCTGCGTCGCCGCGCGCTTCGGCTTTCCACGTAGGTGGAGAGGCCGAAGCGGGCCCGCCCCCGAACCCTCGCGAAGGCGAGGGGATCTCTAATGTTGAGGGGGGATTGGGCCTCAGTGGCGATCTCCTCCTATGAACCTCTTTGCCCGTGCTCATTTGTCTTTGGCCGCGGATTTCAAAAAAGTGCGTGCGTGCGTGCGTGCGTGTGTGTGTGTGTGCGTGTGTGTGTGTGTGTGTGTGTGTGTCTGTGTGTGTGTGCGTGTGTGCGTGTGTGCGTGTGTGCGTGTGTGCGTGTGTGCGTGTGTGCGCGTGTGTGTGTGTGTGTGTGTGTGTGTGTGTGTGCGTGTGTGTGTGTGTGTGTGTGTGTGTGCGTGTGTGTGTGTGTGTGTGTGTGTGTGTGTGTGTGTGTGTGCGTGCGTGCGTGCGTGCGTGCGTGCGTGCGTGTTCGTGTTTGTGTTTGTGTGTGTGTGTGTGTGTGCGTGCGGGTGTGCGTGTGTGCGCGCGCGTCTGTGCCCGACATGCGCCGAACATCGGCCCGCGGACCGCCTTTTGGGTCCAGCCTGGCCAGTTTCTCCCCGAAAAGGGCGGACGGTCTAGAACAACAAAGAGGAACTCGAGACTCTGGGATCCGCCGTGCATCTTTCACATCGCAGTATATCAGCACACGTTGTTTCGTCATTTAGTCTCCTGCGAGACCGTAGCAGGGCGCATCGCAATATATGAAATTACGTACTCGTGTACATCCGGTGCTGGGTTTCGTTATCAGTTTTTGTTCGCAAGTCCATCGTGTACATACATGACGGTTCGTAAAGCATCTGATATTGTTAAGTTTTGTTTCATGGCCGGAGGTTGGGGGGTGAGATCGCAGTGGGACGGGGGGCCCCCCACTGGGAAATCGGCTTCGGTTTCGTGTTCGTGACGTGGGTAAGGCGAAGCTGCGTGGGCGTGCGAGATGAATGACCCCCGCCGTCGCTTGGGCGATTCGGATGCAGAGGGCCACCCTTCCGCCTCCGGTGGGCGCGCGGTGGCTCGCGGTGTCCCGCCGTGGTGTCCTGTGGTGTCCTGTGGTGTCCCGTTGGTGTCCCGTTGGTGTCCCGTCGGTGTTCCGTCGGCGGTAGGCGGATTGTGACTGGGGGTGTCCCGCCTTATTATCGAGAGTGAAGTTGATAGTGAAATCGGTAACGAGATCGCTAGAATGGGATGGGTAGTGATACCAAAAGTGATATCGTCAGTGAGGTTGATCGTAACATTGGTTATGCTCGCGCTGTCGGGTGCGCAGGGAAGCGACGTCCCCTGGTTCGTGCAGATCTCGCGGGGACAGGCAACTCCCCCCTAGTGCGAGCGCAATGGGATCGATCGCTGAATCCAATGGTGCGTAGACTGGCCGTGAGGTCGATCGTGGGGTCGATCGAATGAGACCGGAAACGGGGGCAATATCGGTAGAACATCGCAGCGCAACATCGTCATCAGGCGTCGTCGTTAATTCGTGGGCGCGTCACCTGCATCGTCATCATCAAACCCATCGTATTTGCCAGCAGTTGGTTCTTTCCCCTCCCCGTCCCCCCGGCTTTCTTATTGCCCGAAGGGTGTTCGTTTGGTTATACGCGCTTGTATCCGTGTATATATCGAAGACGAGGGGCGAAATCGCATTGAAAATGGGAGTCTCCCTCGGGAAATCGGTTTGGGTTTCGTGTTCGTGTCGTGCATGCGGGCGAAGCGAAGCTTTGCGGGCGGGCGAGAGGAACGAACCCTCCTCTTGCTCGGGCGCCGCCGGCCCGAAAGATTGTTCCCCCCCCCCGGTTGGCCAGTGGTGGCTGGGGGTGTCCGGCCGTGGTGTTCCGATGGTGTCCCGCCGTGGTGTCCCGTGGTGTCCCGTGGTGGCCCGTGAATTTTTGTTTTTGTCGGAGTCCCGTCGGTGTCCCGTCGGTGTCCCCCTAATGAACTCGATAGTGATATCCATACTGATATCCATACTGAGAGCGATAGTGGGATCGATAGTGAGATCGATGGTGAGATCGATGGTCCGACCGATAGTGGGATCGATAGTAATATCGATCGTGAGATCGATAGTGACATTGATAGTGCAATCGATACTGATATCGATATCGAGAGGTATTGTGGGATCGATTTTGAGATCGGTTCTGAGATCAATTGTGGTATCGGTCGTGAAATCGATCGAGCAATAACGATCGTGTGATCGATAGTGATGTCTTGTCTGTGTCTCGTCGGTGTTCCGTAGTGATATCGATCGTGAAATCGATAGGGAGTTGAGTGTGACGTTGGTCTCTCCCCCCGCACCCTCCTTATCACCTACAACGTGGTAATGAAGATACGTATGTGCGTCTGCTACACTATATCGTAGTAGGGTTTGAATATAATTCAATCCAGTATGGTGTAATACGTGTCGGGACATGACAAATTTGTATAAACTTGTGTACCATTTAGTGTTATTCGATTGCTTTACGATGCATCGGCGTATGCCTGTATGTGTACATGCGATATTCAAGAATTGATAAAACGCTTGTGCGTTGTCAGAACGTCTGTCGTCGCCGCCCCCGGCGGGAGGTGCCCGCTGCGTCCGCGTCCATGTCGCGCGCCGGCCTCTCGCGGAAGGCGATCGGCCCTTGCCCCCTTCCCGCCGCGGCGGCCCCGGCCTCTCGCCGTCTCTTTGGAAGTGTGGCCAGCCGGCTGGGCGCAAAGAGGGTTGGTGGATCAGGGGAGGAAAAGGTAGTCAGTTACCCGTACCGCTGCCCTCCCCTCGTTTTTTTTCTCTCTCTCTCTCTCTCTCTTGTTTGGGGCCTCCTGGGAGGCCCTTGTCGCCACCGCCGGATTCTCCTCGAACTTCCCCGGTGGAGGTCGGACGGATGTCAGGGGAGGCGCCGCTCGGAGCAGGGCCTGTCGAGACAGGCGGTCCTCCCGCCTGGCCCAAACAGTCGGTCGAGATCAGTCCTTTCGGGGCCTCCTGAAGACTTCGCGTCGCCACGGCTGGCCCTTCTCCGAGTGGTGGGGTAGAGCGAGGGATTGGACCGGGGGGGGGGGGAAATTGGGGATGGGAGAGTGGGAGAGAGGAGGGAGGGAGGGAGGGAGGGAGGGAGGGAGCCGGGAGGAGGGGAAGGAGGGAGCAGGTGGCGGGGAGAGGCGGGGCGGAGGAGCAGGAGGGAGGGAGGGAGAGGAGAGGAGTGAGAGAAACGGGGAGGTGGATGGATGGAGTTGGGCGGGGCAGGGGAGGGGAGGAGGGAGGAGGAGGAGGAGGGAGAAGGGAGGGAGGAGGATGAGGAGGGGAGGGGAAGGGCGGCAGGGAGGAGGAGGAGGGCGGGCGGAACTGGAAGGCATCTCGCGCAGTGCCTTCTCCCCAGGCGATGGCAGGCAGGGGGCCCGTCCGCGGGCCCGGCGGCGCCGTTCCCGCCGCGCGGCCGCCGCCCCGTTTTGCACCGCTCGCTGGCTCCGCTGCAGCAGTACGCTCGCGTCGCAGTGCCATCGCACTGCCCTGCACTGCTCTGCACTGCTCTGCGCTGCTCTGCATTCTGTGGCGCTGCCCTGTGTATTCTTTGCAGTGCGCTCCTTGCTCTGCACTGCTTTGCACCACGCTGCACTGCTTCCCACTGCTCTGCATTGCGTTGCATGGCTTTGCACTTTGATGCGCTGCGTTGCATGGCGTTGCATAGCTTGCCATGGCTTCGCATTGCTTTGCATTGAATTGCATTGCTTTGTACTGCTTTGCATTGCTTTGCATTGCTTTGCATTGCTTTGCGTTGCTTTGCATTGCTCTGCATTGCTTTGCATCGCGTGTCATTGCTTTGCAATGTGTTGCACTGCTCTGCATTGCTTTGCTCTGCATTGCATTGCACCACCCAGACGGCACAGCATATATTGCGAGAAATCATTGGTTGGGGTCCACGCTGTTTAATATGTGCTTGCGTCAAGTGTTCGATGTGTTTGTTTGTTCAGTAGTATGTGTGTGTTTTACGGGCGCAGTCCGTACTTTGATTGTCTGGAAGTGCACACCATTGACAGAACTGAACTACATCACCAAAGACGTCAGTTGGCAGTTTCATTCCGGGGTTGAGGATGGATGGCGTTTGAAGCGAGGGGTGTGAGGATATCTCGTTGGCAGTTTTAGGCAGGGGGGTGAGAATATCTCGCTGGCAGTTTTAAGCCAAGGGTCTTCGGATATTTCGCTGGCAGTTTTAGGCCAGGGGGTGAGGATATTTCGCTGGCAGTTTTAGGGCAGGGGGTAAGGACATTTCGCTGGCAGTTTTAAGTCAGGGGGTTGAGGATACCTCGCTGGCAAGTCTAGGCCAGGGGATGGGGATTTGCTTCGCTGGCAGTTTTAGGCCAGGGGGTTGGTGATATCTCGCTGGCATTTTGAAGCGAGGGGCGTGAGGATATCTCGCTTGCAGTTTTAGGCCAGGGGGTTGAGGATATTTCGCTGGCAGTTTGAAGCGAGGAGTGTGAGGATATTTCGCTGGCAGTTTTAAGCCAGGGGTGTGAGGATATTTCGCTGGCAGTTTTAGGCCAGGGCGTGAGGATATTTCGCTGGCAGTTTTAAATCAGGGGGTTGAGGATATTTCGCTAACAGTTTTAGGCCAGGGGGATGAGGCTGTTCTGCGCTGGTAGTTTTAAACGAGGGGTGTGAGGCTAGTTCGCTGGCAGTTTTAGGCCAGGGGGTGAGGATATTTCGCTGGCAGTTTTGAGCGAGGGGTGTGGGGATATTTCGCTGGCAGTTTTGAATCAGGGGATTGAGGATATTTGGCTGGCAGTTTTTTGGCCAGGGGGTTGAGGATGGCAGTTTTAAGCCAGTGGGTTGAGGATTCTTCGCTGGCAGTTTTAAGTCAGGGGGTTGAGGAGTTTCTTCGCTGGCAGTGTTGAGCGAGGGGTGTGAGGATAGTTCGCTGGCAGTTTTAAGTCAGGGGGTTGAGGATTCGTCGCTGGCAGTTTTAGGCCAGGGGTGAGGATATTTCGCTGGCAGTTCTGTAGGCCAGGGGGTGAGGATACTTCGCTGGCAGTTTTAAGCGAGGAGTGTGAGGATATTTCGGTGGCAGTCTTGAGTCATGGGGGTGAGGATATGTCGCTGGCAGTTGTAGGCCAGGGGGTGAGGATATTTCGCTGGCAGTTTTGTAGGCCAGGGGATGAGGATTCTTCGCTGGCAGTTTTAAGTCAGGGGTTGAGGAGTTTCTTCGCTCGCAGTTTTGAGCGAGGGGTGTAGGGATAGTTCGCTGACAGTTTTAAGTCAGGGGGTTGAGGATTCTTCGATTGCAGTTTTATGCCAAGGGTTCTCGGGGATAATTTCGCTGGCAGTTTTAGTTCAGGGGTTGAGGATTCTTCGCTGGCAGTTTATTTCAGAGGGTTGATGATAGTGTTCACACTTTAGGCCAGGTGGTTGGGATATTTCGTTGGCAGTTTTAAGCGGACCCAGCAGGGAGGGGCTTCTAGTCCCCCCCCCAGTTTGGAGGGCGGATCAGTGGCCCCAGTCCTTGGCGCATTCTCCGCGCTGGCGTCTTTCCCAGCCGCGTGGTTGGACATTCCGCGGGCGCGGGCCCTTGGGCAGCCGCGCAGGCCCCCGGCCGCCTCGGGTCGCGCGGCTGGCCGCCCCCCGAGCCAGTTGCCCGCGCGTCCCCAGCCAGCGGGGGGGTCGCGGGGCCTGCCGCGGGGGGGTGGGGGGGGCGGCCGGGCGAGGTGGTCTTGTCGGGCGCCCGCCGGCGACTCCCGCCCACCGATGAAAATTTCTACTCGAGGCTGGAGTTGGGCGATGCTTCTGTCGGGTTGCATCCTGGCCGCGGGCTCCCAGGGGAGATTCCCCGCGCGTCCTGCCGCTTCTGCTCGGCCCGCGGCCGATGTGCCTCGTCGCTGAAGCTGGGCAACCTTCCTCGGAGTGCGGGGCGCCTAGTTTTGGAGCCCAGCTTCTGGTCGAGGCACAGTGCGCGTCTCTACTGAGACAGGGGAAGGGCCTGCCTCCCAGGTGCGGCGTCAGTTGCCGCGGTTCCGTCGGTTCTCACCCATTCGACGAGCGTGACAGCGCGGCGCAGTGCCGCCCGCGCCATTTTTTTTTTTTCTCTCTGGGGGCGGCGGATCCATCTTCTATCTTGGCCCTCAACCGCTGCTCACAGATGCTCGCTTTCCCGGCAGCTCCCAGCGATCGAATGCATCCCCCGGGCCCGCCTGGAAGCCACGAGATACTTCTGACCGCTCGCGTTCTGGCTTCGAGCGCCTCAGCCCTGACCTTTGTTCTCTCGAGGAACTCGCGGGGCGCGCCTTGCGGTGGGGCCGTGCGCTCGACCGGCGATTGTAGTCTTCGTTGGCGCCGCGCGCGGCGCTGCGCCTGGCATCCGCGGCCGCGCCCTTGCCCTGCGACGTTGCGCGTTGCGACGAGCGGGCGAGGATGCGCTCGGGGAGCCCCTCGGTCTGTCCGGGTAAATCTTGCTGGGCGCCCTGTCCTCGCACGTGTGCTGTTTTCCCTTCTTGGGCGCTGAGCTGCCTGGACAGGCCCACGGTTGAGCGCAGCAAAGGGGGGTTGCAGGCTTGCTCCTGCTGCGCATTTCTTTCCCGCCTGCGGCGCATCTGGGGGGCCTGCGACTCCGAGGCAATGGCGGTCGCTGTCCTCGACTCTGGGGGGGTTGACCGACGGGCCCGATGGACCGCGATGCCGACTTCGCTCGGGGCGCGCGCGCGGCGCCCTTCCAGGCGGCCTGCAGCCCCCATCGCGACGAATAGCGAGCCTTCTGCGAGCTCCTTGAACGCGTGCGCTGTCGCGCCGCAGCGCGGTCGAGCGATTGCGAACTGTCGGGGGGGCGGGGTTCGCGGCGCCCCAATCGGATGCGGGCGAGGTGCCGCGCATTCCCGCTTCGTCGCCGTCGTCGCCGTTGAGGCCGCCAAGCCGCGCCCGGCGACCCGGGCGAGGAGCGCACATTTTTCGATCGCCCCGGCCCTGTTCGTTTGGATATCGGCGGCTGCAGCCGAGACTGGCTGGGGGCGACGAGGCTGCAGGACTCTGCGCGGCCTCCCTGGCTCCTCTGCCCATCGGGCAGGAGCCCCGCGCCCCGCCGCGCCGGGCACGGGCCGGTCGCGCTGTCAGAGGGGCCACCCGCGACGAGGTTGTGGATTCTGCGGCGGCGACCCCTCAGGAGGGGAAAAACACACACAGACACAATTAATCGTCGATTCCCAGAAAATATGGGAAAATATGGGAAGTGGGGGGGGAAGACAGAAACCTCAAAAATATGGAAAATATGGGGGATATTTTTATTTGTGTGTATTTATTTGTGTGTCCCAGTTCCCCTTCAGTTGTGGATTCTGCGGCGGCGACCCCGTGCGTTCGGTCGCGTTGCCTGTCCAGGACGAGGCCGGGCGCCGCGCGAGCTCGCGGGCTGCGCGGCCGCCCTGCGCGCGAGCTTCGCGCCCTGCCGTTCTTCGCGCCCAGCTCCCGGTTGGCCTCTGCAAAGGGCCGCCCGCGCAGGAGAGCCTCTCGGCAAGGCCGCGCCTGGGGCCCCCCTGCGCGACGCGGGCTCGGGCGCGCAATCGGAGGGCACCAACTATACACCAACACCGATCCTGGCCCAGGATCGCCCTGGGCCCAGGATCGGTGTATATGCCTTCTTGCGCAAGGCAGGAGGGCGTATACACCGATCCTGGGCCCAGGGTGATCCTGGCCAGGATCGGTGTTGGTGTATAGTTGGTGCCTTCCTACGCAAGGTCAGCGTCCATGGTCCATATCCGGAAATCCGGTGCGTAGTGGAGTTGTTGGATCCCTGGCCCAGAAGGAGCCAGAGGCGCAGTGGATGCGGAGACAATCCTTGCAGTTCGAGGCCGCATTCGATCCGCATCCCCTGCGCCTCGGCTTCCTTGGCGCCCTGTCTTAAAAAGGCCAGAGTGCAATGGTCGGGGGGTGTCAATCTTGCCTGCGTTTCCCGAAGACCCTGCGCGGCGTGCCCCCCTGGTAGCTTCAGGACGGTCTGCAAGGCAAAGACGACGGTTGCACGTTTTAGCGTCGTTGCGCTCGCGGGCGCCGTGCTGATGACCACGGTCAGTGGTAACTCCGAACACGAGAGTCGTCATATTGCCGTGCAAACCACACGCTGGATCTTGCCATGTGTTCGGCCAGCAAGCGAAACAGTGATGGGCGTGGCCATTTTGCGCGCGACTTGATTTCGAATGCATCCCACACGACCGAGCACAACATTCGAGAAAACAACACTTGATAAGCGTGGGTCGAGGTTATACTACCTGCTCCCATTTCGGAAGTGGGGCCCGTTGAGACACCAGTGGTTCTCCCGCCTGGCCCCACTTTTCTGTCAAAATCGGTCCCCGGACCCGTCCGAGGGTCCAATCGGGCGAGTTTCTCGACGCGGATCCAGCCGTGGCGATGAGAAGCCTCAAAGAAAAACAAAACGGCATGGAGGTCCGCCGGTGCCTCGATTGGCCCTCCTCCGAATCACCCCTCCCTTCCCCCGCCCCCTCTCCCCCTCAACTGGCCCTCCTCCGATTGGCTTTCCTCTCTCCTCCACTTTTCCCTCCTCCTCCTTCTCTTCGTCCTCGTCCTCCTCCCCCCCCTCCTCCTCCTCCTCCTCCTTCTCTTCCTCCTCTTCCTTCTCCTCTTCGCCCTCCCCGTTCGATCCTGTGCCCTCCCGGCTTCCGGCTCCCCCCACACCCCGTGGGCAAGCTCTTCGAGCTGTGCGACCTGGACGGCGACGGCGCGCTGAGCGCCCAGGCGATCCGGGTGCGGGTTGGGGCCGAGGTCCGGGAGCCGGGTGCTGCCAAAGGCGCCCCTGTCAAAAGGTCCCCCCAGGATTCTTGAAAGGAGGTCCCCACAGCCTCAGAGCGAAGGCCCTCCATAAGGCCCCCAGGGCCTCCAGAGCACAGACCCCCCACGGCCTTTTGAGCACACGTGCCGCCCAAAAGAGGCCCCCGCGAAGCCTACGGGTTCCCCGGGGCTCCAAGGTGGAGCGAACGGCTGGGCACACCTTGGGCCAAGGACACCTCTGGCAGCGCCTGGTGGGGTCGGAGGACGTTGAGGAGGAGGGAGAGGGGGGAGGGATGAAGGGAGGGAGGGAGGGAAGGACGGAGAAGGGGATGAGGATGAGGATGAGGATGAGGATGAGGATGAGGATGATGATGATGATGATGATGATGATGATGATGATGATGATGATGATGATGATGATGATGACGATGACGATGACGATGCTGATGCTGATGCTGATCCTGATCCTGATGATGATGATAATGATGATGATGGTGATGGTGATGGTGATGGTGATGATGATGCTGATGCTGATGCTGATGATGATGATGCTGATGATGATGATGATGACGACGAGGATGATGATGAGGATGATGAGGATGATGATGATGACGATGACGATGACGATGACGATGATGATGCTGATGCTGATGATGATGCTGATGATTAAGATGATTATGATGATGAGGATGAGGATGATGATGATGACGATGATGCTGCTGATGATGATGATGATGATGATGATGATGATTCTGTATGGTGATGCTGATGATGATGATGGTGGTGGTGGTGATGATGATGACGCTGCTGATGCGGCTGAGACTGCTGATGATGATGAGGATGATGCTGATGAGGATGATGATGATGATGCTGCTGCTGATGATGATGCTGATGCTGATGATGATGCCTGATGCTGATGATGATGTGATGCTGATGATGATGGTGCTGGTGATGTTGATGGTGATGAGAGATGATGATGATGATGATTGATGATGATGCATGGACGATGAGTGATGATGATGATGATGATGATGATGATGATGATGATGATGATGATGATGATGATGATGTGATGATGATGATGATGATGTGGCTGACTGGATGCTGGTGCTGGATGCTGGATGTGGATGTGCTGATGATGATGATGATGATGAGAGGAGGAGGAGGAGAAGGAGGGGAGGAGGAGGAGGAGAGGAGGAGGAGGAGGAGGAGGGAGGAGGAGAGGAGGAGGAGGAGGAGGAGGAGGAGGAGGAGGAGGAGGAGGAGGAGGAGGGGGAGGGGAGGAGGAGGGAGGAGGATGAGAAGGAGGAGGAGGAGGAGGCGGAGGCGGGAGGAGGAGGAGGAGGAGGCGAAAGGCGGAGGAGGAGAGGGAGAAAGAGGAGGAAGAGGGAGGAGGAGGCGGAGGAGGCGGAGGAGGAGGAGGAGGAGGAGGAGGAGCGAGGAGGAGAGGAGGAGGAGGAGGAGGAGGAGGAGGAGGGAGGAGGAGGAGGAGGAGGAGAGAGGAGGAGGAGGAGGCGGCGGAGGAGGAGGAGGAAGAGGAGGAGGAGGAGGAGGAGGAGGCGGAGGCTGATCATGAGGAGGAGGAGGAAGAGGAGGAATTGGAGGAGGAAGAGGAGGAGGAGGAGGAGGAGGAGGAGGAGGACGAGGAAGAGGAAACTGAATCTTAATACTAGTGATAGCAGTGGTAATGCTAATGATAACAACATTTTTTTTACTGATAATGGCACTAATACTAGTAATAAACATTTTAATGATAACGTCACGAATATTATGCCGAGTAATCATAAAGACACTACTAATACTACGACTCTTTCATAATGGTAAGGAGGAGGAGGAGGAGGAGGAGGCGGAGGCTGATCATGAGGAGGAGGAGGAAGAGGAGGAATTGGAGGAGGAAGAGGAGGAGGAGGAGGAGGAGGAGGAGGAGGACGAGGAAGAGGAAACTGAATCTTAATACTAGTGATAGCAGTGGTAATGCTAATGATAACAACATTTTTTTTACTGATAATGGCACTAATACTAGTAATAAACATTTTAATGATAACGTCACGAATATTATGCCGAGTAATCATAAAGACACTACTAATACTACGACTCTTTCATAATGGTAACACTATTGTTAAGTACACGACGAGTAATACGAATACTAAGAATACTACACATCATACTATTAATCATAAGAACATGAAGACACATACTACGACTACGAATAACGAAACATTAGGAACCATCATACTAATATTACTACGAACAGGAAGACTATTAGGAAGACGAATCAGAAGACTAGGCTTATCATTATTACGAATGGTACGAATCGTACGAATCATACTGAGAATGCTACTGTGGATACGAATAATCATGCGAGTGCTGTGTATACTACGAATAACACTACTACTGCGAAGACTAAGCCATACGAATACTGCTAATAATACGAGAAACCGGCTACTAATAGGAAGAATAAGGGGAATAATCGTACGAAGCAGAATAACAGTACTAATCAGCGTACTAAGAATACTATTATTCAGACGAAGAAGATTGATATTACGAATATGATTAGTAAGAGCCGCAATAACAATGAGACGACCACCAACTACTAATACGACGGATAATACTAAGACGCATCATAATAATCATACGACTAAGAATGATTATACCTACTAGTAAACGTAATAGTAGTACGAAGACGGCGAACACTAATACTACTAATAAGACGTATCAAACTACGAAGACGAATACGACACATGAGACCAACAACACGAATAATAGTAATACTAACAATAATAGCATTACTACTACGAATGATAGAAATGATAATAATAGTAGCAATACTGATAACACTACTAATAACAAATTCAATAATAAAACACTGCTACTATCATTATTCTTAGTAATGACAATACTAAGGCGAATACTAATACTGATACTAATAATAATACTAATAATAATGATCATACTAAGCGTACTACTACAACTATTACTACTACTACTACTACTACCACTACCACTACCACTACTACTACTACTACTACTACTACTACTACTACTACTACTACTACGACTAATAATAACACTAATAATAATAATACTAATAATAATACGAATAAGAAGAAGACGAATACGAATAATACGAGGAGTACGAATAATAATACCAATAAGAATAAAAAGACTACTAATGAGAAGACGAAGAGGAGCAGGAGGAGGAGGAGGAGGAGGAGGAGGAGGCGGAGGCGCAGGTGGAGGCGGAGGCGGAGGCGGCGGCGGAGGCGGAAGCGGGGGCGGAGACGGAGGCGGAAGCGGAGGCGGATGCGGAGGCGGGCGGAGGCGGAAACGGAAGCGGAGGCGGAGGCGGAGGCGGAAACGGAGGCGGAGGCGGAGGCGGAGGCGGAAGCGGAGGGTGAGGCGGAGGCGGAGGAGGAGGCGGAGGCGGAGGAGGAGGAGGAGGAGGAGGAGGAGGACAAGGAAGAGGAGGAGGAGAAGGAGGAGGAGGAGGAGGAGGAGGAGGAGGAGGAGGAGGAGGAGGAGGAGGGGGAGGCGGAGGAGGACCACTGGGAGGAGGAGGAGGAGGGGGAGGACCTCAGGGAGGAGGAGGAGGAGGAGGAGGAGGAGTGAGGAGGAGGAGGCGGAGGAGGAGCAGGAGGAGGAGGAGGAGGAGCAGGAGACGACGACGACCACGACGACCACGACGACGACGACGAGGACGAGGACGAGGACGACGACGACGATGAGGGAGGGGGGGGCTTCGTCTGCGGCCGCGGTCGGCGCAGGCCGACTCCACCAGAGGTAAGTGGACGGCTGGCCTCCTCTCTTGGATACGGCTCTTCTGTGTCTTCGAGCGGTGAGTGCATTGTTCCACTTTGTCCGCCCAGATCCGCATCTTTGAGGCGCTTCGGCTCCAACCTTCGGAGAAAGCACCATGTCACAATGATAGGAATTTCTCAGATGTCCGGGCGGATGTTTCGGATTGGCGTTATTGGCGTTGGGATTCCTCTGGCGCCGCCTCCAGGCGCCGCACTTGACGCGCTCCGCGCGCCAGGGAGGGGGGTCCAGCGCCAATCCAAGAAACCCGCGCGGACCTCCGAGAAGTGCGGTGTCCCAACCCTCCTGCTGAATCTGGCGCAATTTTGTCCCTTGAGTACCTCCTAATTGTTTCCTCCCTTTTCCTGTACCATTCCAATCCACCGCCCCTGTCCCTCGTATCTCTCCTTCCTCCTCATCCTCCCTTTTTCTCGTGGCTTTCTCACCACTCATACTCCAACTTCGACCTCCTCCTCCTCCCTCCTCATCCCTCCGCCATCCCAAGCCACCGCTCCCAACCCCTGGGTCTCTCCTCCTCCTTCACCTCCTCCTCCTCCTCCTCACCCCTGGGTCTCTCCTCCCTCCCCTCCTCCATCCTACCCCCCCGTCCTACCACCGTAGCTCTCCACAGCGTTCCTTCCCCCGGCGCGAGCGCGCGGCGGCCGCCCTCACCTGTGCGCCGACCGTGCGCCGACGTCCAGCGGTGCCGCATAAGGCAGGCGCAGGGTCAGGACCGAGTAGTGTTCTCATGGGGGGTGGACAGACCTCCTACCCTGACGCGTCGATTAGCGGGTTGGCCGTTTTCGGTTCGCGAGGGGACGTCGCGGCCGTCATGTTTGTGGGTCCAGGTCCGTCGGTTTTGGTCCCAGGCCGTTTTCACGAAGGGGAGGTTTAGTAAAGGGAGGTTTGTCCACCGCCGATCATACAAACATGGGAACAAGCGCAAGTGGTATGAGACGGGGGAAGGAAGGGGAAGACCGCTAAGGCCGCTCGGTATGTTGTAAGCCATGGGTGCGTCACATGTTCTGATTGGCGTAGTGCTCGGAACATCTTGCCTACACTGTGTGGGGCGGCGTAGTAACGAAGATGACGTCGGTGACGTGACGTGACGTGCAAGAAGCAGCCGATCGCCAGAAAGCTCGGCAGCACTTGACTTGACACGACTGGGTAGAGCTCCGACGACGTAGCAATGTCGACGGCTTACCCTCAGGCGCAACGTCAGGGGGGATTGGCTCAGGGGGGGATGCATCGACCCCCAATCGGCCTTTCATCGCCAATAGGGAGGAGGAGGAGGAGGAGGAGGAGGAGGAGGAGGAGGAGGAGGAGGAGGAGGAGGAGGAGGAGGAGGAGGAGGAGGTGGTGGCCCAGCCCGCCCAGGAACGTGCGATTTTCGCCATCGGGGACCCACCGCCGATCCATCGGCGACGCATCGCCGATTCCAGCTCGATGCCCCCCCCCCCCCCCCGAGCCAGTCCCGCCCCGCCTTGCGTTCCCACTCGGGCACCTCCCTCCCCTCGGGCGAAGAGAACTATGCACATGCACCGATCCTGGCAAGGCCCAACCTTGACCCAGGATCGGTGCATATGCCTTCCTGGCCAAGGTAGGAGGGCATGTGCACCGATCCTGGGCTCAGGATGGGCCTGGCCAGAATCGGTGTATGTGCATAGTTCTGTTTCCTCTGTCCCCGTGGGGTTCCGCGTCCGCCCGCACCGCCAGGAGATGGAGCGCTTCGCGCGGCTGACCGGCTTCGACGGGCCGAGCGAGGACGCGGGCTCGCCGCGATCGAAGCGGGTGCGGAGAGGATGGGTACGAAGACCGGCAGGGACGCTATCCATCTGAGTCAAACAGCTGCATGCGTGATAGCGGCCGCTGTCGGTTTTCGGACACATCTGTTGTTGGGCATCGTACCCATTTTTGTCTACCCGTTTCGGACGTTCAAATGGGAGCGCCGAGGCCTCAGACTGGCCTCAGGGACAGAGAAAGAAGCCGTGCACGCCAGAGGTGCATCGAGAAAGAAACATTGCACAATCATGATTTTCGGAGGTCCGCGGGATCTGCGCTGGACACCCCCTTGCGGCGTCTCCGGCGCGGCCCTGGGCGCGCTCCGCGCGCTAGGAAGGAAGTTTCAGCCTCGACCCAAGCAATGCGCGGGGACCTTCGGAGGTTTACGATCATGCAGATTTTGTTTTCCATTGGTGAAAAGGTACGGCGACTGCTTTTTCTTTAGTAAACAGTTTATGTTTGGTGTTTTGATGGTTGATTGTCTCAAATCGTTCTGTAACAGTCTCAGAGGTCCAATGATAAGTTGCGTAAACACAATGTGTCGGGGTCGGCACTGGACCTCCCCTGGCGGCGTCTCTGGCGCCCTCCGGGCCAAGCTTACCTCGCACACCAGGCGAGGAAAGTCCGGCATTGGCACGAACTCTGCGTCGACCTCCGAAAGTTCACGTGTGTGTGTGTGTGTGTGCTGTTTTTGTTGCTCTTCTGTACGGGGCGTTCTGGAACGATCTCGGAAGCGCGTTTCTGGGCGCACTGGAACAGCCGCGGCGCCCGATGTATCTATCAGGCTCGCCGGCTCTCAGGGACCACGAGTCATCCGTACTCGATGTTGCTCGTTTCTGCCCCCATCTTGTGTTTTCGTCACCTCGTTCTCCAGCCATGGTGCAGGGGCGAAACAAAAACGCTCTCGTGCATGAATTCGAATTGTATTCGAGAGAGCGCATTGCGCAAGCGCTCGTGACACCAGGGAGGCCTCTCGAACTGGGGGGCCTATTCATGTAATTTCGTGGCTGGGCGCACGCTCTGCTAATCCTTCTCTGCTCCCTCATGCTGGTGTTCATGGAGTACCGCCCCCTTCGCTTTCCGTTCTCGCCGCCTGCTCTTGGTGCTCGATTTGCGAACCACAGGAGTGGGAGAGCGAGTACAAGGAGCTGTGTGCCGACAACTCCAGGACCGCCTGCAGTTCTCTGTAAGCAGGCGAACAGCGAAGCACAGCAGCAGCGGTGCAGCATGTCCCATGACTTGACAACCAGCACCCACGCCTATGCGACCCCCAGAGTTCTGGGGGGTGGAATTCCGGTGGGGGCGGGGTGCGTTGTCGGAGGGGGGCCCCCGCTCGAACGGGAGCACCCTTTCGGGGTCCGTCGCGCAACCCGCAGCCACGCTTGCGGCGCCCTCGTTTGGGGGCCACATGCGAACCCTACCCCTACCCCCCACGATTTCCGAGGGGGAGGGTGGGGTGTACTGCGCTCGGGAGCTCCCGAGCGAAGTGAACCCCACGGAGGCCCTCCCCGCAGAAATCGTGGGGGGGAAGGGGTAGGGCTCGCATGTGGCCCCCTGCTCGTCTCCCTGCCCTTCCCCATTCCTCCTCCCCGCCGCCTGGAGCGTGTGCTTTGCACCTCCGTCCACTTCAAGCATCACGGGTGCCCCCGGGCCGTGCCCGTGCGCCCGGCTCCGATGTGCGGCCTGCCGACGCTGCAGGCGCTGCGGCGCGGGCGCCCGAGGGCCTCGCGCCCGTCCTTTCGTCCTCACTCCACGGCCCGTGTAGCGCGGCGTACAGTCGGGGCCCTGAAGAAGGAACCCTTTTCGTTGGGGAGGGGCTCCGCGTTCCTCAAGTGTTTCACAGCTTGCCTCAGGTTTTCCTTATGTCTTCGACACGAAATCGAAGGTTAACTGATGGGAAAAAGGGGCCTCGTTCCTTATTTAGGGTTCCTTAGGTCAACGCCCCGACTGTAGCAGGAAGCGGACGGGGCAGGCCAGCTGGGCTGGACCGGGTTCCAGGGAAAGGTCGTCGTCGAGGTCGGCGTCTTCGTCTCTCGGATAACCACAAAGCGGCGTGAACACGAGTGCGGAGGTCCGCGCGGCGCAGATTTCTTGGATCGGCGTTGGGCCCCCTCGGCGGCGACGGTATTGGCGATCACAGCGACGACGACTCCACGTTTGGTCGGTTCCATGGTTGCCGCTTCTCGGCATCCTGCGCTGATGATTCGTTTGGATGCTGGTCGTAAGTATTCACTCGCCGCCTTCAGCCTGCAGTCTGGAGGCCCAAACATTGCAAGTAACTTACAACATATATCTCGATTCTCGATGTGTTCCTCCTCCCCTTCCTCCTCCTCCCTCCTACCTCCTCCTCATCCTCCTCCTCTTCCTCCTCCTCCTCCTCCTCCTCCTCCGCCTCCTTGAAGCGTTGAAGCTGCGGGCGCTCAGGTCTGGTGACGCCGCCCTACCCCCCACCGGGCCAACACTTTTTTTAGAAGCGCAAGCGAGCCCCTTGGCGAAAACGTGGAGAAGAGGGGGAGGGAGGGAGGAGGAGGAGGCGAAACAGGACGAGGCAGCAGAGACAGCGTAGAACGCGGACAGCAGCAGTAAGCGTAGCGACGCGAGGAGCGAAAGAGGAGACGGACGACACGGCGACGACTAATACTTCTCCCCAGCTCGGCGCTCGCGAGTGCCTCCTCGCTGGTCGACGGATGCCGTCTCCTTCGTGCCGCGCCTTGCCAGTCGAGGGCTCCCAGCAGCGCCGACGCGCGTAACTACGGCCGCCCGCTCTCCCTGCTCCCGTCCGTCGGCCCGCCTCCGCGGTGGCCCAGGGCGTCGGCCGAGCGGCTCGCGCCCGAGCCGCAGGGGCCCCGCCAGAAGCTGCCGCCCGGGGGGCCGCGCCCAGGGGACGGACGTCGCCGGGAGGCCCCCCGGGGGCGACGGGCGGCTCCCGGAGCTCTCCTCGAGGCGCAGCGGCCGTCGGTGGGGCGAGGCCCAGGTGGGCCCACCTCGGTCGGCGGGCCGGCCGCCCGGCCGGAGGCCGCCGATCCGGAGGCGGTTCTCTCGGAGCGGGGCGCGCGGAGACGAGGGTCGCCGTTTTGGCCCTCGGGGGGCCCCCTCGTCGCCACGGCTGGACGCCGCGTGGACAGCTGGTGCGCTTTTGGGCCCCGGGGGAGGTCAGGGGGACGGAGTCTGAGGGCATTTTTGGGCCACCGTTGTCCCACCGCTGTTGTCTCGCGCGGCTTCCCTTTGATGTCATCCCCTTGCGATGACGGGCTCGACCGGGGGGGGGTGCGGTAGTCAAAAATGGGGGCCTTGCATGTTCTCGGCGTGTCGTCTTTACTTTAGAGTACTTTCGCATATGGCAGCGTCAGGTAGTCGACGAGACAGCGCCGATTTAGCGTCGATGAACGTCGATCCTGAAGGGGCCTCACGGCCAGCTCCGCCGACCCTGAAGGACGACGACGACGACGACGACGACGACGACGACGACGACGACGACGACGACGACGACGACGACGACGACGACGACGACGACGACGACGGCGGCGACGACGACGACGACGACGACGACGGGGAAGACGACGACGACGACGACGGCGGCGGCGGCGGCGGCGGCGGCGGCGGCGGCGCGGCGGCGGCAGCGACGGCGACGGCGACGGCGACGACGGCGGCGACGGCGACGGCGACGGCGAGCGCGACCCTGACCGCGACGGCGACGGCGACGGCGACGGCGACGACGCTCGCTAGCTCTTGTGGGGGCACATGTGGGCCCTGCTGCCCTCTCTTCTGCGGCCTTTTAGGCTGCCTAGGGGCATTCTTGGGCGGTCTTGGGGCCGCCTGGAACGCTTCTTGAGCCAGCTTTGGGCGATATTGGAGGCCTCCTGGGGCTTCTTGGAGCGTCTGAGGCCTTGTGGGGGCCGTCTTGGAGCGTCCTTGAGCCGTCGTGGGGCCTTCTTCAGCCGTCGTGGGGTTCTCTCGGGGAGGACTTTGGCCGTTTTGGAAGGATCTTGGGGGCGTCGCGAGCCCTGTCAGAAGCGTCTCGTCTGACGCTCAAAAGGTGAGAACTCAAAAAGAATAACAAACCTTCGTTAAGGAATCTATGATTTGACATCTTGGGTCTCCGTGGGGATGCTGCTGAGGCTTCTGCGTGGCGCTGTGGATAGCTCTGAGGCCTTCTTGGGGATCGGGGGCGCCTCTTGGGGCTTTCTGGTTGCATCTTGGGGCAGAGTGCTACAGTTGTCGGTTGGTGTTCCCCCTCTTGCAGCTCTTTGGGGCTCTCTTGGGCCGTCTTGATCGGAGAGGAGCGGTCACAACCTCCAGGGCCCCCGGGGGGCCCCCCTTCGGGAACCCCAAACGGGACCCCTCCCAGGATCTCCCCCGACAGCACCCCCCCGTGACCCCCCCCCAGACGGGGAAGGGACCAAATGGAAGGGGCTTCCCTTCCTGAACTTTTTGGATTTCCCACGACACCCGGGACCCCCCCAGGACCCCCCCCCAGGCCCTTTCCCCAAGACCCCCCTCCCGCGGGGAAGGGTTCAAAGGGAAGGCGCTTCCCTTCGACTCGATTGCGACGTTGTTCAATTCCTGTCTGGCTGGATCGCTTGAGGAGGAGGAGGGCCCAATAAAAGGTGGAGTGGCGACGATGACGGCGACGATGACGACGACGACGACGGCGACGACGACCACGACGACGACGACGATTAAAACGGAAAAACGGCACACACACACACACGCCGACAGGGTCGGCGGATTTAGCGTCTATTAGCTTTGATTAGCGCCGATTAGCGTCGAATCGCAAGAGCCAGCAAGATGGCATGGGAGGCTCCCAGGAGTTGCCACCGAAGGGGGGGGGAGGGTCCAGTCACGTCACGATCCGCGCCGGCGCCGTCCGGGAGTGGTCCCAGCGCGAATCGTGACATGACCAGGAGTTGAAGGGGTGATGGAGGAGGGGGGTACGGGTTCGTTCACGGGCATTATGCCGAATAGAATGAAATGGGCTCCAGGTAGATCCACCTCGGTCGGTCGGTCGGCCGGATGAAGGCCGTTGATCGAGCAGCATAATTTTTTAATCTTGTTTTGACGACGGACCCAATTCACATGCAGTTGCGAATATTGCAGGCCGCTTGGCAGGTAATGCGAAGGAAGAGGACGAGCGCGCCACAAGCGCAACGGCAAGCGTGGACAGGAACCGGCGGACGCAGCAGGAGGTCCCTGCGGGGCGAGAGAACGTAATCAGCACAAGTGTTTTTCGAGACCTGATGTAGTGGATGGCACAGCCAGCAATCATTCAGATGCTGAAAAGGGCGAGGGCACGATTAGCAACAACAGGTGTGAGACCTTGGTGAGCATCCAGGCGATAGGCGAGAAGTACGTGTTTTCCTATCGTCGCCGCAAAACGCAATCAGCATAAGTGTTTCCAAAGGCCCTCCAATGCGGGGCTTATGCCGGGGCCCTATGGGGCTCCGATGCGTGTGGAGGGAGTTCCGAACTAGGCTGAGGCCGCCATGCGACCGCTGTAACTGGGGCCTTCGGTGAAGATCCCTATGGGGCCACGAAGCGCGTGAGTGGTGCGCCGAGATTTAACCGAGGCCGCCATGCTATCGCAGTCATTGGGGCCTAGGTCGAGCTCCCTATAGGGCCACGAAGCGTTTCAGGGGTGTGCCGAAATTGTCCCGAGGCCACCATGCGGCCATTGTCACTTGGGCCTTGGGTGGCGCCCCCAATGGGGCAACGAAACGCTTGAGGGGTGCACCAAAATGGACCCGAGGCCGCGATGCGATTGCTGCCTCTTGGTCTTCTGTAGGGATTCCTGTGGGGCCACGAAACGTGCGAGGGGTGCGCCGACATGGACACGCGAAGGGCCTAGAAGGGGCTGCGAGGGGAGCAAGGGAGGAGGTGGATGAGGGAGGTGACGAGGTGACGCGGGGCGCTGCGGATGCAAAGCGAGGACCCAAGACTACACGATGGTTGGGACACTCAAGTTTCGAATGTCCGCGCGGATATTTTTGGTCGGCGCGCCAGGGAAAGGAGTCCAGCGCCGACCCAAGAAATCCGCGCGGACCTCCGCAAGTTGATGTTGATGCATGAGTTTGGTCCTCTCAGTGGGATTAGCGAACTGTCCCATCAGATTTTGGAGAGGATGGAAGATCAGCACGCAGAAGCAGAGAAGACGGCCGCGAGGCACCCAGGGAACGGGTGGGGGGACGCCTGCCCAAGTTATTGAGTCTCAGTTCGGCTCTCAAGTCCACTTCCCCTCCTCCGTCTCGCTCCCAGCACTGTGTTGTCATTGTTTGAACTGGCGATTTGTATACGAACGCATGCTAGCAGTGCGGATGATTTCCTTCTGTTGGCTTAGTTGGGTGTGGGCATGCGCTCCTCTCGCTGGGCCACGTAGGAGGGAGACCTCGCTGCAGCTCAGTCGAGCAGTCAATGTAGTCAATCCGAACAGATCTAGGGTCACAGCCGATCTGTCACCTTGTTGCCCCACCTCCTCGGGAGTCAGTGGCTGTGGATGTCGAACATGTAGGTGCCGAAACCTCCTGACCCCACAGTCGGGACCCGGATCTCTCTGGCTTCGGGGCAACACGAATCGTTTTCGCTTGCCGCCGCCTGAAGGATAGGAAGGAGGACAAGGAGGCAAAGTGCGCTGAAGGAGGCCGGACGCCGTTCCGAACCAATCTGTGTTTTTGCAGACCAGTCCGCACACGAACAGACCCGACCGACGTTCGATAAAGTTCGCGCCTTCGTTCGCGTACGACGGGAGGAAGATGAAGATGCTGATGATGCTGACGAGGAGGAGGAGGAGGAGGAGGAGGAGGAGGAGGAGGAGGAGGAGGAGGAGGAGGAGGAGGAGGGGGGGGTGCTGAAGGTGCTGATGATGCGGGTCGTCCATTGGCCCCTGGCACGCTGGCCACGACAAAGGATCTCAGTCTATACTGCCCTCCTCCTCCTCCTCCTCCTCCTCCTCCTCCTCACACGCAGGGTCGACTCCCTTGCGCCGGCTTTGGGTCAACTCCCATTCCACTAGCGCATCAGAACTAAAGCGGTGCACTTGGGCGACTCGGGAGGCGTCAAAGCAGGACAGGGAGGAGGAGGAGGAGGAGGAGGAGGAGGAGGAGGAGGAGGAGGAGGAGGAGGAGGAGCAGGAGGAGGAGGGAGCAGGAGGACGGCTTGATGCCCCTTCGGCCCCGCCCCCGCCTGCCCAGGAGCGTCGCGCAGGGCGTGGACGCGCCCCTCTTGCTGCAGCTCGTGGACGACGACTCTGAAGGAGGAGCAATGGGGTGGTGACCAATATGGGGTGAAGGACAGGGCCTTGACGGGACTCTTTAAGGCCCCTTCTGGAGTCAGCAGGGGCCCAAGAGGTGCCCTAAAGGTCTCCTTTTTGAGCCCTTGTCTTCACCCCGCTATTTAGGTGATCCCCTTAGGCATCCCCACTACCACCCGCCCGAGTCGGCGGCCGAGCCGGGCTCCCTTCCGTCCTCGCGTCTTTTGGAGCCTTCACGACGGAAGGTTGTTGGCCGCTTATGGCATCCTTGGGCCCTGATTGGGCCCTGGACCGGCGCGCAACTGCTCAGGATGGGATGCCGGGTCCAGAGTTCTGGGGAGCCGCGTCGTGAACAAGAGCGCGACGTCGGACGTTTGGGGAGGAGTGAGAGGCCAATGCGCCGGAGTGGCAGGGTCCACTTCGATCCTATCGACCCGCTTTGATGTCGATTTCGGCCAGCCCGGTCCGATTCGATTCGGATGCTCCAGCGATCCGATGCGGCCCGATGCTCGCATTGCGCTGTTGTGCATCCTTGCGCAGCCGATCCGACTCGGTTTCGACTCCGTGCCGATGCATCCCGATCCGACTTACATTCCGAGTTGATCAGATCTTACGATCCGGTGCTGACTGCTTTTGGCATGGGCACAGCCAGGATTGGCGAGGTGTGTACGGTAGGTCCGTGTTGTGTCGATTCGTCGACGACCGCATTGCGGGCGTTCAAGGTTGAACGCCACCAGCGGCCGTTCGTCCAACATTGAACGATCTGCGCTTTCGGAGAGCCGTGATTGTTCAAGGTTGAACGATCTCCGCGGCTTCGGAAACTAAAGCGCATGTCGTCACGACACGAACCTGCTGTCAGTTTACGTCCCCCGCTCGATGCTCGTGGAGTCCTGAGGAGGAGGGCGCCGCGGGAGTTGGCCCTCGGCAGTGGCCCGCCGCCGCCCGCCGCGTCGGGAGGCGCGAGAGACTTTCGAAGGTTCTAGGGGTTCCATGGGGACCGTGGGTGACAGGAAGTAGACGAGGAGGATTCGGACTTGCGCGGGGTCAGTGCCACGAACTGCGCGGCACACGCCCAAGCGTCCACAAGCGTATAGCTTGCGTGCGAGATCCTACGTCAAAGAAAAAGGTTTGACGAACACGAGGCCAGGGGCACCGCGCACCATGCGGCTCGAACGACCGTGGGAATACTTCAATTGACGATGATTTTCCATTCCTAACGCTACGCGGGGGAGACACGACTAGGTGATCATCCGCCTGGCGCTGGGCGCCCCTGGCGGCACCCGCGGCGCCACCCCTGGCGCGCTCCGCGCGCAAGGAGAGAGGGTCCAGCGCCGATCCAAGAAAGTCGTGCGGACATTCACGTTTATGATCATTTCGTTTCTTTTTACTCTAGTTGCGCTGCACCTTCGGGGGCCTTGTCTGCCATGTAGGTCGTGGTCTTTTCTTGTGCCCGACGTCTGCTCGACTCGGATCCGACGCGGAGTCGCCGCGGAATTAATGCGGGATTCACGTGCTACCACGGATGCGACGCCGACTCGACGCGGACATATGCGCGACGGGGATCGGCAAGGCCTTCCGAAGGCGCAACACGAGGCTGAGGAGGTTGCCCTTCTCCACGGTGGCGGTGCGACAAGCGCGAAGAGAAGGGCGCCTTTGCGCAACGCGAAGCGCGAAGCGCGCGGTGGGGATCGGACGCACGGGGGGGGATTGGGAAAGAGTGGGGGCATGAAATCTGTTGTATTCCAGGCTTCCCCGATGGGGTCCGAGTAGATGGGGTCGGAGGATCGCGCCGCATCGCCGATGCATTGGCGATGTGGTTCGATGTGGAGCTCGATCTTCTCCACCCCGACGGCGCCGATGCATCACCGCGAACTCGCCGTCTCATCGGCGACGCATCGCCAATACGGCGCGATTTTCTGTCCACATCTGCAATGGAACCCATCTGGGAGGCCTGATGCATGCGGCCACTTGCGGCCCCCCTCCGCCAGGCGCTCCCGCCGACACCCGGGCGCCTCCGGCGAAGGGCCGAACGCAGGAAGCCTCGACCCACGCCCTCGCTGCCAGGTGTCAGGTGTCCCTCTTGCTCTTGGCCGCTCCCGATGAAAGAACCTCTGAATTTTTGAATTTTCTCAGGGCTGCAGGCGCCCTGGGGCACTCCACTACAGTGGGGGCGCGCATCAAGATATCGTATGCTTTTCGTCAGGGTGTCCTGGGTTTCTTCGCCCCGCGCGCGGCGCGGACAAAGCCAGATCGCGTCAGGTGTCCGCTTTCCCCTGTGCTCCCCCAGGCGGCAGTCAATCCGGGAGAGGGAGGCGGTCAAGCGGCAGCGTTGCGGGGGGGGGGGATAGGCTCAGCGGGGCACGCATCGCCCCCAATCGCCTGCTCATCGCCGACATGGGGCTTGACAGCACCACCCGTCCAGGACCGTGCGGTCTCGCTGTCCGGGGCCTGTCGCCGATCCATCGGCGATGCATCGCCGATTCGAGCTCCATGTTTCCCCCCCGGCGCCGGCCCTGCCCGGTCTCTCTCCCCCTTCAGGACGAGGGAAGGCGACGTTGGCAGTGAGGGTTCTCTGTGCTGGGTGTGTGCGTGTGTCTTTTTTCTGCCGGTCGCCGCGCCTTTGCTTCCCCACCTGCCGGGATGTCTGGGCCGGTCACCTGTCCGACGCTGTCCTGCGTCTCAATGAGGGGCATTTTGTCCCCGGCATGTGCATACGCCACTGCGGCCAACTTACATCGTACCGCGCCCCGGACGTTGTGCTCGCTCCTTGTCCCTCGCCTTGGAGCCGCGAACCAAAAGTGCGTGTGTCTGCCGCCACCTGCCAAGCCACCCGATGCCCGACCCGAATCGGGGGAGCGTAAGACCCGGGTTTGCCGGGACTCGGGTTCGCCATCGTTTTTTGACGACCGCGACTCGGATTTTGACGAGGAGGAGTTTCGTGGGATGTCTGCAGCGGGAGGCCTCGTCAAAATGCAGGCTCGGCCTCGTCATTTTTTTGACGACCTCGTCGGGGATTTCCGAGTCCCCCGTACCCGGGTCTTACGTCTCCCCGACCGAAGGCCCCAACGTGCCTTCCATTTCCGGTGGGGGGGGGCCGTCGGGGAACATCGAAAACCACATATGGAACCCGTGCGTGGCCTCCTCGCCCAGCTCCTCAGACGCTCCGCGGCTGCCGCTGCGGCAGTCTGCTTCGGACCCCTGCGGGCGCGCTTCCGGCCGCGGCGCCCCCCTCTCGGCCACTTGCCCCGGCCTCGTTCGCCTCCTCCTCCTCCTCCTCCTCCTGCTCCTCCTCCTCTTCCTCCTGCTCCTCCCCTGCCTCCTCCCGGAAGGCCTCGCCCCGGCAGTCCTCTTCTCGCCAGCCTCGCCGCCGCCGCCGTCGCCGTCCTCGTCCTCGTCCCTCGTCCCTCGTCCTCCGTCCTCCGTCCTCGTCCCTCGTCCTCCGTCCTCCGTCCTCCGCCCCTCGTCCCACAGGGCTGCTACTGCACGGACGACGAGCTGCGGGAGATGGTGGCCACGCTGGACCGCCGCCTGCCTCGCCGGCGGCCGCTGGCCCTCGCGCCTTCGCCCCGCCGGGGCCGCCCCTCGGCTCCCTCGGCCTCGCGCGTGCCCAGGCTTCGAGAGGGCCGAAGCGCTTCGACCGCGGATCGATGACGGAACGGCAAGGCTCGCGTCGTGTCGTCCGACGCCGACCCCGCCGCCGGCGTTCACCGTTGAGCGCCGCCAGCGATCAAGAATCGGCCGATGTGGAGCGATCTGGCGTTTCGGAAACGCCCGATTGTTCAGGGTTGAACGATGCCCGCGGTGTCAGCAACCCACGCCGAAGTCGGCACGACACCAGCCCGCCGTGTGATCTCTTCAGTCCCGGAGTTTTTCCTGCTGGATTTGTTCCCGAATCTCGGCCTCTGGGTTCCGTCACCGGGTCCCAGGACCGTGTGTACATTGAATCCGGGGCGGAAAACCCACCAGGGAAGAGGTCAGGGGCCCTGGCCGCGTACAGCAAACATCAAGCCGGCGGGTGTCAGGAGCTCCGGCTTTCTGCTCCGCTTCATCTCGGCCTCCGGGGGCCGTTTGCAGGGCCCCCGGGGCACGTGCCCTGGTTATTGCACGAGGGCCTTTGGGGGCCATCCTGAAGCTTCCAAGTGGCCATCCTGGCCTCTGAGAGCTACTTATCGCGGGGTCTCTGCGAGCCCGTCGGGCCTGGCAAGGTCAGGGTGGTCCGTTTTCTGTTCCACCTCATCTCGGCCTCGGGGGGCCTTTTTCGAGGGCCGGAGGGCCATCAACACGCTGACCCGTAGCGACAGGAAATTCCCTCGGGGAGGGGTCTCGGCCCCTTCGACCTCTGGGGCCGCCGCTTGAGACAAGCGGTCCATCGGATGACAGGAGGAGGAGGAGGCGGAGGAGGAGGAGGAGGAGGAGGAGGAGGAGGAGAGGGAGGAGGAGGAGGAGGAGGAGGAGGAGGAGGAGGAGGAGGAGGAGGAGGAGGAGGCAGTGGATGAGGAGATGCGGCGACCGCTTCGAGCAATCTCGGGGTTCCCCAAAAAAGAACAGCACCGGATCACAAAACATCGCACGAGCCTAATTACCTGTGTCGCAGCTCCGCACGGACGTCTTGGATCGGCGCCGGGCCCCCCCGTGGCGGAGGAGGAGGAGGAGGAGAGGCAGGAGGAGGAGGAGGAGGAGGAGGAGGAGGAGGAGGAGGAGCAGGAGGAGGAGGAGGAGGAGGGTAGTGGATGAGTAGATGCGGCGCGGATGTCTTGGATCGGCGCCGGGCCCCCCCGTGGCGGCGACCCCTCGCGCAGCCCCCCGCGCCAGGGGGAGGGGGTCGTCCCGGCGCCGCTCCGAGGAAAGCCGGCGGAGGGCCGGCCACCGCCCAGCACGCGCCGAGGGGCGCGGCCCGCCTCGCGGAGCGGTGCCGGAGAGCGGGCGTCCAGAGCCTCCTCCTCCTCCCTCTCCCTCTCCTCCTCCTCCTCCTCCTCCTCCTCCTCTTCCTCCTCCTCCTCCTCGTCCTCTTCCTCCTCCCCTTCCTCCTTCTCCTCCTCCTCCTCCAGCGCGAACGGGGGCCAGCCAGTCAGAGCCCCGAATCATCCGGGGTAACTCGGGTCAGGGCTAACTCGGGTTCGTTTTTCGGGAATCCAAACTTGACTTACCCCGGACCCGACTTACCGCGGATAGTTCGGGCGTCCAGAGCCCCACATCATCAGGGGTAACTCGGGTCAGGGCTGACTCGGGTTCCTTTTTCGGGAATCCAAACCCGAGTTACCCCAGACCCGAGTTACCCCGGATAACTCGAGCGCCCAAGGGCGGTGCGGGAAACGGGCGGCATCGTCGCAGGCCCAGAGGTCGGCACCAGCACCAAGATCGGCCGCGTGCCTCCACCGAGGGAATGAGATCCCGATCTCGGTGAAGGTGGTGATGTCCTGGCGTCCGAGGTGGCCGAGATGCTACCAGCAACACCGAGATCTAGGATCATCTTCCCCCTGTGGAGGCGACCCCCTGTGTTGGTGTTGGTGTCCATTTCCAGGCCTCCAACATGGGGGCAAAATGGCGACCAGAGCCCTGGACCCCAGCTTTCTGCGGCACTGCTCGAAGCTGCGTTGATCCGTGACGGGCTCTGGGCTTTCCGGATGAGGTCGGAGTAATTAGATGGGGTCAGAGGATCGCGCCGCATCGCCGACACATCGCCGATGCTGCTCGATGTGGAGGCCGACTTTCTTCACGTGGGCGTCGGCTCGATGGAGAGGCCGACTTTCTCCACGTGGGCGTCGCCGATGCATTGGTAATGCATCGACCACGCGGCGCGATCGTCCGACCCAATCTACTCCAACCCCATCTGTGAGGCTGCCATAGATCCAATCTTCCTGCGGTCTTCTTCGAGCTGGATTGATCTGTGATGGGCTAGGGGCCCAGAACTGGGCGAAATCGCCCGTTGCGAAATAAGTATTACGCCAGCCAGGATCTCAGGGCTTGCGGTAGGCAGGAGGAGGCCTCGGGGGCGGCAATCGGCGGCGAGCCCGGGGGGAAGTCAGAGCGGACGGGCCTTCTCAGAAGGCGTCTGGCCTTCTGGTAAGGTTTCGAAGCCTTCTCGGAGGACAGAGGCGACCTCTCGGCAGGCGCCAGGGCTTCTGAGAAGCCTCGCCACATTCTCTGAGAAGGCCTGCCCCCTCTCACTTACCCCCCCAGGCTCGCCGCCGAGGAAACATACAGTGAACCCGCATAGTAAGGATGAGCGGCGTTCCAAGGTTACCTGTTGCATCCTTCCTCTTCGGCCATCCTTGGCCGCTTTCGCTGGCCGCGCCCCGCTCGCAAGGTGTCGACACGTCCTTCCAAGGCCCTTTGCGGCCTTGTCGTGCGTCCTGATTCTACGGGTGGGCCGTATCCGTATCCACGGCCTCGCGGTTTGGACTCCTCGGCCGCGGCCCCATGGTGCAGGGCGGTTCGGCGCCGACGCCCCGCGCGGGTCGAAGGTCCATGGGGCCGCGTCGCCCTTGGGATCGCCCCCGGCATGGAGTTGGCCAGGTGTCCGAGGCGGGTTTTTGTGTCCATATCCACCGCCTGGGAAACTCATCTTCCTGAAACCCGCGAGGCGGATACTATTTTCGGCGGCGAGCGAGGGGGGGAGTGAGAAGGGAAAGACTTTCTCAGAAGGTGGCGGGGCTTCTCAGAATCGCTCTGGCCCTCTGGCAGGTTTCCTGTGTCTTCGGAGAAGGCTTTGACAACTTCTCAGAAGGCTGGGACCCGACAAGTCCAGCGCGATGGGGGGAACTGACAAGAGGCGGTCCGCCTCTTTTTTCCCCCTGGCTCTCCGCCAATGCATATGTATAGATGTTTTATGTATACAAATATATAAAATAAGGTGTATACATCTATATGTGCATATATGTGCAGATATATCGTGCATCGTATTTTTGTGGTTATGTATTCTCCAAACTGTGTTTGCACTTGGGGGGGTGGTTCTCCTCTACGGCGTTGGGTCTGCCTGTCGGTCTGGCGGCTATGTCGCCGCCGCCGCCACCCCGTCGCGCGTCGCCGCCCGTAACTGGGCATGTCTGTCGGTCTGGCGGCTATGTCGTCGCCGTCGCCTTCCCGTCGCCGCCGCGTCGCTGCCTCGCATAGATTTCACCACAGAGACTGCACAACATTGACTGCGCAACGCAGATCGCAATGCATATACTCCTTTCGAACAGAGTAGTTGGATCTGCCCCCCCGCTGGACTTGTCGGGTCCCCCTGGGGGGAGACAAGAAGAGACGGGATTTACAATTTCTATATGATTCTGCCCCATCGTCCATCCAAATCCTGAGTTCGTACCATCCCAGGCATGCCGGTATCCCCCCTCACCCCCTGCAGATAATACTATGCGCGCACACTGGTTTATCACAAATCATCAGTTTCAGGAATGCCTTGCAACACATGGGGCGACGTGAACACGCGCTCGTCGTCGCGCGCGCATGCCAGAAACCTTTAAACATTCCAGGTTCCGTAAGGATCTCTAAATCAAAGGTCTCGGAACCATATAACATCACATGGTTTTTGAGTTTCAAAAACAGCCTGCGCTCGCGCTCTTGCAGATTCCTCTGGCATGTAAAGGTTTCTCAGCATGTTCATATCCTGCTACCAAGCGGGCCTCTCGCGCGCGCATGTCGAAATCGTTCGAACGTCGTTGCGCGCGCGTACTGTCGCAAGACTCCTAGGCAAACAACTGAGCGAAGTGCACGCGCGCGCCGTCGTGCGCGCATGTCAAAACCTGTCAAGAATTTTCATGCTTTAGAAGGATATCAAAATCGAGTGCCCGTCAAACATCAAGTTTCCCAAAAACAGGCCTGCACGCGCTCTTACGAATTCTTGGGAAAACCATGGGTCTTACAACATTGTCATCTCATTCTGCCTAAACGGGCTTTTTTACCACGCGGGCCACTCGCGCGCGTCGGCCGCGCGCAAATGTTGAATCCCTGTCAAAACCTTCATCACCGACGCGAGGACATCGTCATCGTTATCGGCGGGCGTGATCAACATCGGTGCCGTCATTGGCCTTGCCGTCGTCATCGCCGCCATCGTCACCGTCATCGCTGCTGTCATCATCGTGTCTACCGTTGTTGGCGTCGCCATGATACCGCTCCCGCCCAATGCACCGACTAGCGCTGAGGTGCTGGCTGGGAAGTGGCCAGCGGTCAACGCCACCGCGGCCGATCCTGCCGCGCAACACTAGCTGGCTGTTGCGCGCGCGAGCATGCGCGGGCTAGCGCGGCCGCAAATATGCACCAACCAGCGCCAAACACTCATCGCAATCGCCGCCGCTTGGGCATTGCAAAACGAATTGTGGGCAACGAATGAGGACCCCCCCGGGCTTTATCGGTCAATGTTTGTGTTGCAGTTACGTACTATTTTGCCCCATCGGCCACCCCATGAACTCATACCATCCCAGCCCATCCGGGTCCGACCCCCCCCCCCCGTCATCCTCTGCACAAAACACTGTGCGCACAGTCGTTTATCAAACATTTTTAGTCTTCAAGAACCCCTTGCAAACA